TAGTGTAACTTAAGCAGCACAAACCCTGACAGAAAGACTTGGTTTTGATGAAGGAGCGTCCCTTCTTCACTGCAGCTTTGGTTTTCTCCAGTCCATCTTTGGTTCCTTCCTTGGCAGCCTTCACCAGCTTTTGCATCTTGGATGAGACACAATGCACCATTACTAAGATTTGAAGAGTCCTTTTTAGTCCAGGTTTAGTTTAGTCTAGTCTGTCTAAACCTACGGCTAAAGAAGAGCTGAACCGATCTACAGGAGCAGTGTTAGAGGAGGGATGAACAGAATGCGTAACACAAGACGACAGAAGAGCAGAGGCGACCACAGGAGACAGAAACTGGGACATCAGCTAAAAGCAACGTGGTGCTTTTAAGAACATAATGCAAGATCGAGGTTCAACAGACGTTGCAGTCTGTATAATGGAACACAAAGGTTCAAATGCTTGGGAGACACGGTTGCTGGTGTCTCAGTTTGCTGAAGAATAAACACGTGTTACTTTAAATGTGACGTCCGACGCACGAACATTCAATGAGACAGGTCAACGTGGCAGAAAGGGATGCAAAGGAACTGCTCGCACTCCCACCACCACCACCACCACAAGTTCATTCACGTCACAGCAGGATGAAGGTACCAAGTCAGAAGCAGGACGCCCAGAGTGGAGTTAGCCAGACTGAGTGTGAAGGGCTGGGACTACTTTATCTAGCACAAACACATGAGGTGAGCCTCAGCCGGTTTACCTTCTGCTCGTGTTTCTGTTTTAACTGCTGCAGCTCTACCGTTCCCACTGTGTTTGCCATTAGATCTTTCATCTTTTTCTCATAGTGTTCTTTCAAGCGTGTCAGATCTTGAGAGAGCTAAACAAAAGCAAAGCAAGCGTTACTGGTTACACAGACTGGGAATGAGCTGGAGTCCCACCACGCTCGCCTTCGTGTCGACGTGGTGGTTTTTTAAATAAAGTGATTTTGAAGCGTCAAAACCACGAGGCAAATCATCACAGAGCGCAGGAAGACGACTAGAAGAAGCATCGAATGCACGAGTGTGCATCGCTGTGAACTGGGAAGAGTAAGCACAGTAAAAAAGACACTTTCATAAACTATATGAAAGACACGCTGCGTTATCCCCGCTATCCTGAGCTGCATGTTTAACGTGCTGACGGGAAAAGTAATCCTTATACACACATGAGTCTTCCTCTGCGGCGGCTTCCCTCTCATGAAGGCGTGGGGCAGGCCGTTCTCAGGCCGACCTTCCCCGTCGCTGGCTTCGTCGTAGCTTTCAAACTCGCTAGAGCTCCAGCCATTGTCGAGGGAGCTGTTGCAGCCGCCCTCCTCGCCGAGCTCCACATCGTCGTAGATCATCTCATCTGGATCTGTACGAATGAGAGCGACTCGCAGTGATACTCAGAAATACTACAGTCTGGCTACGACCTTAAATTAACTTGGAGTTTCACGATGCAGACGAACACATGAGAAGTCCCGAGCGTCACTGAATGCAACACTCATCTCATCAAAATACCTAATTAGCATTGATTAGCAACATTAAAGTCAATAAACGAGTCAAACAGGCGTTTTTGAGCCTAAATGAGTCAAACGGTGATTTTTAAACGAGAAGAAAGAAGCGAAAGTGGACGGGATCAAAAACAGGAAGCTTGAAACTGAATGTGTGGAATGAGAAAAATAAAGTATAGTTCACAAACCTGTGTTGGAGTCGGAGTTTTCTCTGGGCACATCATCATAAATCACCTCATGTGGATCTGAAAAAACACGTGCACGGGTTTTACACACCACGTAACCGATCCAGTAACGCGACAGCCAGGATGCGATGCAGGGAGAGAGCTAGAAGACAGGCAAGGCTGTGCTTCCTCAAACGAACGGGGAAGGAAGTCTCTGGGAATTCAGTTGTGTCAAAAGAACATTTTAAAAAGATGAGAGCGCCCTGCGGGCATGTCGTGACTGCGCAGAGGCAAACGCAGAGAGATGACGCCGCAGCAGCACCGCGCTAACTTTGACCTTACTCGGAATCGTTTCCTTACTTTCCATCCATGCGGTGTTGGCGGGATCTGATGCCCATTTTGCCAAAGCATCCTCTTCTCTGATAGGTGGATACTCTTCACTGAAAACACTTAGAGAACACATAAAAACACATTTTCAATGTAACATGTCGATGCACTCAACGATGAGCACAAACGGTTCGCATGTGACTCACCTGTCAGCTGAGGCGTTCCCAGTCCCAACCAGCATCACTGCAGGGAAAAATGAACTGGTGTGAATCCTGCAGGAATTATTTTTCCCAATCAAACATTCCAAACATCACAGAACTGCAAAGCTTCTCCACACGTGCCACCAGGGGTCACTGATAATTCCACAGATCATTTAACCTGGATATGTTTTAGAGTAAATGTGCTTCCACAAAACTTCATCTAACATATGTGTCTAATTGAAATTCCTTCTGCGTGCTTCTGTTTTCCTTACTTCAGCAAAAGGCCCGTGCTATGTGCAGTCATCAAAAAACTGCACAAATGAATCTCATGGTTGCACTCTCTGGCTTTGTAACATCTAAAAAGCACAAGGATTTCAACATGGTGTGACCTTGTTTAGATAATTACAGTGTAATTAGGCTCCTGGGACTGCCAGGCCACAAGCTTGGGCTCAGTTACTGCGAGATTTTAGGGAAACCGGAAAATCCTTACAGCCAAATCTGTGGGGAGGGCTAAATTTAGACCCTACTTCCTTGTGGCAAGGCTTTAGGAAAAACAAAAGAAGAGAGGACGGGGGGATCGCAGCAGCCGGGACAGCATTTACGTGTCATAGCTGTGCATCCATGAGCGAGAGCAGGGAAAAGAAAAGTAGGGATTAAAAAACAACTTCACTGCTAGGAAAGATTCAGTTATGGATATAATTTGATAAACGTTTGCTCTTAATTTAACAGCGTTTATTAAAGTCTCCTCCGGGTTTCCCCTGGTGCTTGTTTCATTTACCATCTTCATCCACGGAGAGGTGTCGAATGATGACAGGTGTGGTGTAAGCTGGGGTGATGAGCGGTACTCCAGAGGGGGTCGCATAGCCACACGGGACAGGCACCGAGTATCCCGAAGCGATGCCAGCAGGGCTGCAGGGAGGATCCTGGCCGTCTGCCTCTCGTTCTTGGGGCTCCGTGGGCGAAGGGGTGGGAGAGGCGGGGCCGTGCTGCTGGTCAAGCTGCTGGAAGGAAGTGATGTCGATCACAGAGTAGGGGTTGACTTTGCCCTGGGAGGAGGAACCGGGGGCGACGTGTGGAGCGTGAGCGTCGCTGACGGATACTTTCTGGCCTTCACTGACTGCTGAGGGAAAGATCATACAGTTAGCTGACACAGCTACAAATATAGTTACAAATATAGTTACATTTAGACAAAGATGGCCTCAAATTATTATATTTATTCGACTATATGAACTCGACTACTGCACACATTAGAAATGAGCATTAAAAAGCTTTTAATGAATGAAATCTTACTTTTTCAGAGCTATCTGATCATTTTGGTGTCTCTCAGTTGTTCATATAAACATTATTCATTATTTAAATACTCGGTTAGACTCATTTCTCCTTCAGAACGGCCTTAAATATTCAACAAACTGCTGGAAACATTCCTCAGAGATTCATGGCCACCACATCCTAAAGGGGCTCTGCTGGACTGAGATTTGGTCTCTGTGCTCACAAAGGCACAGCCATGATCTACACTCCGGTAAGATGTGGTGTTCAGACGATGCTCGTTTGGCACGATGGGGCCCAAAGTGTGCCAAGAAAATTTCCCCCCAGCCGCTCACAGAAGGCAGGATGGATCCATGCTTTCATTAGATTTCCTGTTCTGAAAGTCACAACAGACACGGAGACTCATCAGAACAGGAAATCTTTTATTGGTGAGCCTGTGTGAACGGTGGCCTCAGTTTCCTGTCCTTAGCTGACAGCAGAGCCACCCGGTGTGGCCTTCTGTAGCCCATCTGCTTCGACGTTTGACGTGTTGCAGTTTCAGAGATGCTCTTCTGCATACCTCGGGGATAATCAGTAGTTATTTGTGGTTACCGCTGCCTTCCTATCAGCTCGAGGCAGCCTGGCCTATCTCCTCTGACCTCTGGAATCAACAAGGCTTTTTCTCCACTTACAGAGGAGCAGCTGAGGCTCAGGAGGAAGAGCAGGTTTACTATGAAGGGTTGGTGCTTTGATCCATAGTTCCTGCATCGGTTAGATTAAAAGGGAAGAAAGCACTTTGAGCACTCGGAGTATGAAAGTCCCATGTTTCCATTTAACTGCTGCTCACTGGACATTTGCTATTTTGCA